ACTCCTAAGGGTTTGATCCACAAAAGGACATAGATTTTTTGATAGTCAGCATTGCATCATTTAAGGTTTAGATGCCTGTTTCCTAAGGTTGACTGCATATGTTGAACAAGGCACATTGTCTGCTTGTACAATGCATGCAAAGAAGTAGACATCTCCAGCTGGGCTTCCCAATAGCTGCCTAAGCTATACAACAAGAAAACACTGAGACTAGAGCTGTTTCTTAAATCCCACCTCTCCTGAACTGCAGGTGCTTAACTTTTAATCACAGGGATGAACAGTCATGAGCAGCAGCTCCCAACCCCTTCCCTGGCTCAGGTGACCATTCTGTGTTTTAAAGAAGAGAGTCAGCAAATGAGTGGACGTCACTCTTTGAACACACAGCCGGAGGAAGGGGGGTTACAAAAACTGAAAAAAATCTCAGAATTCAGCAAACTTTCAGGATGTGGGAAACAACTACTATTCAGTCTGAAAAGGATTCACATAGTCCTTGCTCACTTTCTGACTGTAAAACCCCACCAATGGGCTGTAGATAATTCTCTACCAGTCTTGCTGTAGCAGTGCTACTTAAGAAAGAAGGTCTATATTCACAGCACCAGAGAGAAGGAGCAACAGAAAATAAATTACTAAAGTCCCCTCGTCAAGACAATTACTTAAGAGAAATTGCCTGGTGCACATTTCTTGCTGAAAGAGATGGTCATGTATTTTCCATTAAATGGCTAGATAAAAAAGTTAAAATGCAAGTATTTTTGAGTTTTCTTTTTTTTTTTTTTCCCCCCATTACTGAATGAAAAAGCATTTTAGAAGGTTTGTGGTTGAGCTTTTCCTTTTTCTGCAGGGATCAAACAGAATGCTTTAATCAGTTCAGGATTTACTGAGAATTATTTAAGAACTTTAGCAGACCTGTAAAAGCTGTAAAGGAGACAAGGATGGTAGAAATCAGGGAAAGGCTTCCACATGAGGACTAACTGGGTGTGGGTTTGTAATCCTGAAAAAAGGTAACTGTGGGGCCTATAGCAGAATCCTGGATAGTCAAGAGAGGAAGTTGAACTGGTAAAAGTTATTAACTGTTCCTTATAAGAAATAATCAGGTATCAAACAAAACTAGTTCAGAACAAACAAGAGGAGCAGTACTGTAGTGTATTTAATCTGAGTAACTCACTGCTGCAGGATGGTCCAATGCAGCCTATCTAAGAGACAATTTTGTCAAAACCAGATAAATGGCTCTTTCGTTACCTTACAATTGTAATTAACGACAGAACATTTCAGTAGGAGTGCTAGGGCTAGTAGTCACGTCTAACATATCAGCAATTGAATTTTTCTTAGTGAGGCCTCTTTTGCTTTCCTTGCAAAGAAAGATGTTTCTAGAAAAGTAAGTAGAAAAGATTACAGCATTACACTGGTTGAGACCTGGCTCGAAATGAATCACAGCTCCCCAAACACATATTCAACAGGGTACCTCTCTGTTAACTTCCCTCAGCACATGAGAATGGGCTTGATTGCACAAGAGTGCCCTGTAAGACTTTTCGATAGAGGGAAATAATGTTTGCTCATACAAATTGCTTCTTGTGGCTTATCCAGAGATACAGCACAGCCTTGAGCTGATGCCTGAGGAACTGAAAGTCTACTATCAATACACAATGTCTCCATCTGCTGATTGCTAACCGAGATTTCCATACCCTTTTGCATAACCCGATGAAAAGCACACTGCTGATGCTGTGACAGATGGATGCCTGCTTCCAAGCGGGAAGCAGACCTTTTGTTAAATCTGGTCTCTAAGTACAGCATTGCCTAGCAACTATGGGAAACGAAGGCAAGCCAAAGCATCAGAGAACATTTCACCTGGTGCAGCTCGGGGCTTGGGGTTTTTTGTTTGGTTGGGGTTTTGTTTGTTTTTAAAAGAAACTATCCAGTTTAATCCTCTGTAAAACAATATTAGGTGATTTATGTCTTTTCATCATAGAAGCAAATGATGTTCTTACAAGAGGAGTGTCAGGACAACATTTCCCAGAAAAGAGCACTGTTTCACTTATTATGAAGAAATTCAGACCCAGTAGTGAATGAAATGGAAAAGACCCTTATCTGTTTGTGTCTTTTGTTACAGCTTTGTCCTAAATCTTATCATAAGGAGTCTTTAGCACTACATATATGCCAACATTAAGCCCATGGCACTCCAAAGGTGCATCAGCATGACAGCACTGCTGTTCTTCCTCTTGTCCCTTGTAGCAGCACTTAGTCTCTCTTTCCTTCTTCTTCTTCTTTGCAAGAGGTATTGCAGAGTATGAGCTGAAGTTCAGTAATGACTAATTCAGAGTTTGCCTCCCCAGAAGATTCTGGGTTAAATAACATCACATTGGCAAAAGTCCATGTAGCAAATAACTTTGTTAGCACTTTTATACCAGCAACACCAAACGCCCTTACACAGCCTTGGATGTGAAATCATGGATATCTTGAACTGCTGTCTGAGTGATCTATGGCTGCTCAGCTAGATTTCCTGTATGCACTGCTTCCCTATACTGAAAAGTCCAGGCCATATTTTGTTTAGCATTGACTTGCCAGAAAAAAATCTTTCTCTATATATGCATGTAAGAGGAAGACAGAGATAGAGGAACTGTTTATGGTCTTATATGATTACTAATGTATATTTAAACTGTTGAGAAAATGAGGTCTTTCCCAAAAAAGCATTTGCTTTTTCTATATAAGTCTAGGGAATTGGATCAAGGTAAACTCTAAGCTGAGCTCAACTGCCTCAATATACTCTAGTGCCAGCTTCAGCAACGTTGGTTAGCTGAGCCCTCAAGCACCTGAACCTTTCTGTAACTGCAGCTGGAGGCCAGGTGAAGGCACGTCGAGTGGCACCAGGCCGCCCTGGCAGGCAAATGCAGAGCCCCCTGTCATCTCTGTGACTAGTTTAATGTAGGGAGTTCTGACTTAATTTTTAATTGCATATAATACAATGCTGAACATCTCAGTGTGCTACCAACATTTAAGCCAGTGCATACAAGTTTGTACTTTCCTGCTGGGTTCAGTCTGACTTGCACCATTTCAGAGACATTGAGCAGCAAACTGTAAGAAAATGCAGCATCTTGCTTACGGAAAACAAACTCTGCTTTAATATGAAGCAGTCAAATCAGTAGGCAAATACACTGGGTTTCAGCACGTTCTTAATATTTCTAAATATGAAATATATAGGAAAATAAAAATGTCTAGCACTTTCTGGGCAGGGCAGCACAAGCTCTAAATAAAGAGGCACTGAACATTGCTGCTCATACACTGAAAGCACATCTGTGACTGCTGTGTGGTACATAAACACCCAGGTTAATGCTAAACCTGAATCAGCTGGGATATTAATAACACCACAACTGGGTCAGCAGTGTATTGAGTGTAGACTGATTTATCATGTTTCTTGGGTAAGTTTGCAGCCTGTCCTAAGCTTTCTGCATTTGTAACTAGACCGCTATTGAACAGGAGTTAGGTGACATAAAGCTTATGCAAATAATCTCTGCACTATGGTTATTGAAATACCAAGGTATTCTAAATTTGTGTTGTGTTTAGATCAATCATGGAGAATTCTAAGGCTTATATCTGGACTCGGGGGCCTAAGCTTCCTGGTTTGGTCTCAAAAATTAGAAATTTTGTAAAACATGTTCTGCTTGAGAGATGCCTACTATACTGGATGAAATCCTTAAAAAATGTGCAGTTTCTATTGTATCTTTATCTAAAAGGAAAATAAACCCCTTTTAGATTAGAACTTGATATGAAACAAGAGAGAGAGGTTTTTGGTGCACCATCTGATCTCAGATGTCTGATGTTAGTAGGCTGCATAACCAGCCTTGCCAGCTGCCTCCTTCTGCATCAGCCTCTTGATAAAGGGCCAGTTCTGATTGACTGATGTATTGCAATATTGAGTACTACATCATCTAAATTCTAGGCCCCTAAATCAATTAATGGACTTGATTCCAGGTTCGTAGCTAGTTCTTTTGTACTTGTGTAAAGATTTAGATGCTGAAGCATTAGAGAAGCCTGCACTCTGCATGAGATGCTCACTCAAAGTAGGCAAAGTCAGGCTCCTTTTCATAACTTAAATACCTTATTATGGCCTGGAGAAAGGATTTACAGACTGAAACACTTTCCTGAAGGTTAGTCCTAAGGCTGGTCCTAAGTACTTTTCTCTCAACATATGGATGGCAATCTCCTTCTACCAATGCTTTGGGTTAAGTTCTCACTGATAAGCCTCTATTCTAGTCTTTTTTCTTCGTAAGCAGATTGGTGATCATGTTTTCTTCCTCTCTAAGGGCTCTCCAGCTAGTAGGCTGCAGCATGTTCAATTCTGTACAGCAGAAACTAAAATAGTTTTGGAAACTTTTTTCCTAGAAATATGGCATCTGAAGATTTGAGATATCCTCCCATCCCCACCCCCCACAGCTATGGTGCAGATGAGGAGAGATTTTGAAGATCTGCTTTTTGTTCTAAGCATGGAAAGGGGGATTTAGTCTTTCTATTCCTAATTGTTTAACCGTATTTTCAACATAAATCATGCTCTGCTCTTGATTTATAATATGAAACACACTCAATTTTTTTTTGTCTAAAGTACTTCAGAATTTTTTATCTTTAAAGTCTTGTTGTTATACAGCAACAAGACCATGCACAAGATGTAACGATTCTAAATCAACATTTTCTTTGGCTGTTGTGCATTGAAACTTAACTTATTTTCCGTTATTTGTCTTTCTGCAACAAGACAAAAATTCTTATAAAACAAAACAATTGTAATAGTATTCTGACAAGTCCAATTTGTATGGTACATTGTCACAAAAGAATATCTAAGAAAATGCAGAATGGCTATACAAACCTACTAATATGCTTTAGAAACTCCTTGCAGGAGCTAGAACAACATACTATTAAAACTCCAAATACATATTCAATATGTGTTTTTAAAGAAAACTTTATAAATACGCAAATTTAAGATAAACAAATACAGAATAAAATGCACTAAGAAACTGATATGTAGACAAAGGTTTATTTACACCATACAACATTTTAAATATTTTATACACAGCTGCAGCAGAGAAAGCTACTCTGAGCTTTCCAGAGAAAACTGCAATAATAAAGATGTGAAATATATTATTCATATAAAAGTGAGATTATTACTTTATTGCATTTAAAGCAATGAAGAATGTAGCTCAACAGACATTCATTTAATGACAAAAACTTTGCTTTTATATTATAAAGTAAAAAGTGTAGTAATGGCCAAACAGACTGTTATAAACTTTAAAAACTGCATAAATATATACATTGTGCTTCATGGTGAAGTTTTTTGAAAACTAAACCAAATGAAGCTGTTACAACATGAATCGTTGCTTGAGGTTTATCTATAAAGATTACCTTACAAATCCATTCCACGGGTACTTACAACACACGATGGTAAGAATTGTACACCTGGTTCTCCACTAGCCGCACTAGTGGGAATATACTGTACGAAAAAACCACTGACATTTGGCACAGGAAGAGCCTGACATAAAGTAGTCACAATGTTCAGACAGGAGCGTCAGGATTCCCAAGTCTCTTTATTGTCAGTGCAATGAATTATTTTTGTTTTGTTTTTGTTTTGTTCAGTTTGTTTTTGTTTTTGTTAAACTTCTGTTTGAAAGTCGCCTTCTTGCACATCTAAAGGCAAGTTCAGACACTTCTCCCATTCTGCTGGTCTGAGTTCTAAAGCATCTTTTGCCTCTGTGTCTAATACGTTTATCGTTGTATAGTGTTGGTAGTCGCCTGTGGTTTTGAAACTTTCCCATGGAGCCTTGTTTGGTGCTGAGTTCTCCTGAAGACCAGAGAAGAAAAAAGAATTAAAAACAAAGATGAAATAATGTGTTTTCTGTTCATAAGACTGATCGCTAATGTGCTCTCATGAGACAGAGAAGCCAGAGAGTGGAAATGACTTTGCAGGGAGCCAGGCTGGCGGGTGTTCAGCACCATTGCGACTCTTTCTCTGTGAACAATCAACACGTTGGCAGGCTCCTCACCTGAGCTGCCAGCTAAGCCCTTTCTTTCACAAGAACCAATGTACATGAGCAATGGCCGAGTGATCCAGTACCAATAGCCATCTTTTTAATAGCGGTTGTGTAGAAAAGTGGGAGAAGAGAAGAGAAGGTAATTGAGAAGAGCTTGCTGCTTGAAATATGGAGTGGTTTGAAACAGAGATTGCCAGCTGGATTTTAAACTGGGGCAGGTGCATGACAGAACCCCGGAAACCTAGTCCTTGAAAATGCTGTGAGAGCTACCTTGCTCTACAGGCTGATGAGCTCATGTATATTAGGATTAACAGGCTGAAAGCTGGTTATTTTCTACTGAATGAATTTTTTTTGAATGCTAAGTTCTATAGGATAAAAGCATTACGGACTAAGACCAATTTAATTAGTGATTTCTGCTGTATCATGTTTGGTGGGACTTAGTTGCCAAAACCTAATATTTTTGCATCATTTTAGATGCCTTTGGATTTTCTGCCTGATATCCAACTATCTTTCATGAGAGGTACAGTTCTTCTTTGAGTCCTGTGTCATCACTGCCTGTACTGTGCTGTAAGCTACGACACCTGAGGCTGCCTAAAATAGCCTGAGATGCCTATATTTAGGTTCCTGGATCACTCTCTGACTGTCTTACAGATAGACCATTCCTCTAGGCAGCTTTTATTAGCAGACTTTTCAAAAACATCATAGCACCAATGCGAAACGGAGTAAACACAACTCTTCCACTGAGATTCCCTTTGAGATTTTGAATTAATTCAAGCTTTATGTGGACAGCAAATCTCAAATAGGGAGGTGAATGCAAACTTTACATGTAAGCAAATCTCAGAAGGGGGAGTGAGCGAGAACTGGGTGCAGATAACACATATCATAGCTAAAGGTTCATCAAAGAATCAGGGCTAAATTTCTGTTGGCTTAAGATGATGTAAAAGATGTAAATCCATTGGCCTCACATCTGCTTAATACCTCTTCTTCATGTCTGAGAACAGCTTTTCTGAAAAAGTCACAGAATACAATGATTCTAGCTCAGTTCCATTTAATATACAATATTCACATTATAAAATTATATATAAAATTATTACTAATCATAATATTACTGCTAACAAAAATGTCACACTGATTTAGCTGTGTTAATTAGGCAGAATCAACTATTTCCTTGCTCTCATTATCAGATGTAGTCAGGGTGTTATGCATGTGTGTATGAGTGTGTGTGTATAAATTTGAATTATGATGATAGCAGAGTCAACTCAGGATGATTTAATTTTTGCTTTTCCCGTGGTAAATATTTATAAACCTATTATGGAAAAGACACGGCATTATGGAGACCCTGTGTGCTTTCTGGACCATGTCATGTATAGGTGAATCTAGCTGGACTTGTTTGTAGTAACTAATTTAATATCCGCTTGTCTAGCTAGAGGAAAAGCCCTATTGGCCAAATTACATTAGTGAACTGCTTTCTCTATATAAAGTCCTTTAGACTTGGTAGACACATACCGATTTGAAATGTGTTCTCTACAGTTCAATTACTTGTCATCTATAATGATGTCAGTCAGTTAGTTATGGTCTGGTTGTAAAACCTAATGAGTCTTGTCATAGGTCAGATTACTGAACATATATTTTGTTCTAATTTCTGAGGCTATCTAAAGGTAGTGCAGAGTGAGGTCTTCTAGAGAAATATGCTGAATTTAAAAGACTCTTGTTTCATTGTTGTTGTTAAGGATCCATTATATTTTAAGGAAAACTTACCATACTGCCTGATTTTGGCACATCCCGAAATCTGTCCAGCGTTTGAAATTTCTGATTTAACTCTTGAAACAATTCCATATGCCTCTTTCTTGTATGCATGACCTTCTGCAAAATGGAACATAATTGCTTATATTTATAATTGAATCTGGGCTTTTTTAAAAAAAGCATTATTTTCCCCAACATAATAAAGTAAGTTGAATTTGGCAGGGCCATCTTTTCCCTATGGAGTTGACCAATGGAAGTAAATTGCACTGAGCCTTCTTTCTGCTTTGTTTAGTGTTCTTACTGTGTACAAGAGACTGTTTTTACCCCACGTTTACTGAGTTGCTGAAATTAAGGGACACTGCTTTTGTGCTAGCCTAGAAATATTTTGAAATTGATGGCAGTTTCTCAGAAGGATATTTCTCTTGCACATTAGGAATATTTTCTAGAATTTCTGTTTTCAGCATGGATGCTAATATTTTAATTTCTATGGGAGTGCAACAGCAGTTTGCAATGGTCCCTATCAGAATAATTTTTATGAGAACACTGAACTCAGAAATCTTGGTCCAAAATGGAAGAGCCCCAAATGTTATGTCTTTTTAATTAGACATCTTCTCATTCAGATCATCATAAAATGCAGTTGAAATAGCATTCATATTAAGAAAAGTAGGCACAGTATTTCAATTTTACTTGCTTTTTTATGTCATGGACTGGGCAATTGGAAACCACGCTCCCTCTAGCCCATGCACAGGGCACTCTTCCACAAAAACTAATTATATGGCACTCCTGTGCAAGAGGTGGGGGCCCCAAACAGCCCCCAGAGTTGGAGGAGCCCTCGGCCATGTATCTGCCTTGGCAGCTACATGGAGAGTGAAGCCTGTTTTCAAATCTAGATTGTCAAGCCTACCATCTGTGTTGTTTCCAAACAAGTTCACGCTCAGGTATGGATTTAGACCTGCCTCTGGAGCAAAGCCTAAGGCTGCTTACTGTTCAACCAACCTCATGGTTCTGTGGTCTGGGTGGACAGGGGACAGGAGGCACTGAGGATGCTTCACCTCAGTCCAACAGCAGATGGGCTCAGCTTGCCTTTTCTTAAGCTTTTGTAACTGCTTGAACTTGAGTTACAGCCAGGGCAGCAGCCAATAATATTGGTAGAAAAGGTGCAGGACACCAGCCTCTATGCATGTCCACTAATTGTCAATGATTTTCCCTGGAGTTATATGTGACAAACCCTGCAAACTTATGTACGCAGTGCCTGAGCGTGTCCCTTCCCAGCCAGTAACACTTCTGCCAAGTCTGGGTTAGTACCTTTTAAAATGGAGTGGCAGTATCTGACCCTCAAATAAAGCTTTACCAGTACCAATTTTAACCTTTATCTTTCATTTGTATTCTATGTTTATAAATTTCATGAAATGTAGCTAATCTCTTGATCATGCATTTCTACTGCTATGCTGTAATAACCATATCATCCTTAATATAGCTACACCGTAGCTTAAGAACTTGTTTCACTTCTGAGAACAGGAAATTGGCAACATTATTCACAACAGACACATGAGATACAGCAAGCAATTAAAGACCTATTAACTTAACACGAGTTGTGGGGTGAATAAGGGAAACAATTTTGCAGGATTTGGTTAGGAACTCCGTGCAAAACGTAATTTAACTAGAGATAGCTGATCTAAATTTATGAGGGGAGTTTCACTTAAGTGACTTCCTAGGGATTCTTTTAAGCTACTGCTCTTATGGTAGACAGGGATATGTAGCAAATTTCATATGCATCGAATTTAAAAAAGAAAGGATCTGCCTCAAAGGTTATTGTTGGCTGAAATAAGGAGACATGCTCACAGGAATAAAACATACAGGCTGGATCGATGGGCTGAGGCC